TTTTTTTTTTTTACCCCCCTTTCAATCCTTATCAACTACCACGGATTTCTCAGTGACATCATCTACCACCCCGAGGTCAGAAGCATCTGGTCTGGTGGTCACCACCAGGRGCTTCTCTCCTTTCCCTCTTATCAGGCGAGGACAGCCTGCCCCGGGCTTCACTGTCTTTATGGGGGTGAGGGGAAGTGACTTGTCTGAGGCCACCCTGGGGGGCTCTGTGGTGTGCCTGGTCAGAAGAGCGGGGGTCCCCCCTGGCTGAGGGCAGCTGGAGACGCAGCCGCTGTCGCATGCTGCCCTCGGCTTCCTCGCAGCTGGGTCGGCTACCAGTATCCAGGCTACCGCGGATACCAGTACCTCCTGGAGCCCGGCGACTTCCGCCACTGGAACGAGTGGGGCGCCTTCCAGCCGCAGATGCAGGCCGTGCGCCGCCTGCGTGACAGGCAGTGGCACCGCGAGGGCTGCTTCCCGGTGCTGGCCTCCGAGCCCCCCAAGTGAGTCMGCTCTGCACCCCTCCCGCGCCCCCCCTCCCCACCCCCCCTCCATGTCCCCGTCTTCCCCGTGCAAATAAAAGTTCCTAAAGCCGAAGACTGAGTCTGTGAGCCCAAGTGTGTTGCAAGGTCCCCCTGGTTGCCACGCGGTGGCTTCCTCTATCTTAGTCCCAAAATAGAAAGAGCAAAGGAGGCAAGGGGGTTTTGTTTGTTTGTTTTTGTGGCACTGGGGATGGAACCCCAGTGCAAGGCAAGTGCTCTACCAACTGAGCTATTGTCCCCAGCCCCAAGCACAGTTCTTTCTACACATCATCCTGGTATATCTTTCAGACTACTCTAGGGGGTTGGAGTTAGGATCATTCCATTTCACATGTGAAAGAATTGAGATTCAGAGAAGGGAAGTGACTCTCCCTAAGTCACACAKCTAGCAAGTCTAGACTTGAAGCCAGGCACCAAATCTGTGTTTGCAAACTCTCGGATCTTTCGTGCACCACCTCCTTGTTTTATTGTATTTTATTCCATCGGAATACCACCTGGTCTGTTATGTGCTCAGAATTCTTATTTACACAGACTGACTGTGTTGTACCCAAATGCACCGATTCGTAAATAAAACTTTATAGCACTCCAGGAAGTAGACCATCAGTATCCCATACCAGAGATAGAAAGCAATCCTATAAATAAATCAAATACAATTTAAAGAAGAACTGAGTTCTCAGCAGACACCTCTGCCCACCCAAGCCTCTGAGCCTGGGCCCTACTTGCTCCCTGGATTAGCAAGCATCAGAGAAGAAGGCCCCGCCCCCCAYGCCTGATTCAATCAATGAAGATCGAACATTGTGTTGTGTGTGTGTTTGGTGTTGTTGAATCCTGCTCCAGGTTCTACCGGGAGCTATCTCTGTTGGAAGTCCCCACCAGTGGTTATTGACTCCTGTGTCAACAGTGGACAGTAACCATATATCCATGCAGGAAGCCTGGGGGGTGTTGCTATGGAGATCTCCCGGGAGGAAGGAGTGCATCAAGGACCAAGTGGGAGCTCGCTTGGTGGAGAATGAGAAAGACGATACTCCAGGCCTAGTGAACAGCAGGGTCCTCGCTACCCCATATGACACTTCTGCACAGATGATAGAAAAGATGTCTCGAACTCAAGACGTTCTACCGCCATCTGCCAGAAATTATTGGTATGGATCTGCATTGTCTAGAACATCTCTGTGGCACCTTGTACTGTGCCCAACTTGCACAGCTGTACTTGGCGGCCCTGCAGCACCATGTGTGAAAGGATGTGTGAATTCTCTTCCTTTGTTGGATGCTGGGAAGTGTCAGGCAAAGAGCTTCGGTCTCCAGGGTCTCATTCTTTCCATTGGTAAAGTAGCAGCTCAAATGTCCTTCTAGCCCCAGGACTCTGAAGCTGGGATTCTATGGTTCCAAAGCCCCACGAGTCTCTAAGACTCTGTTATTTAGCTCTAATCTTCTGTGAGTCTGGTTTTAAAGTCAAGCTACAAAAGATTCCCATCTCAAGTTTCCCCCCCTCCTTTTTTTTTGGTGTGTGGGGGTATTAAGGATTGATCTCAAAGGCACTCGACCACGGAGCCCTATCTTGTACTTTATTTAGAGACAGGGTCTCACTGAGTTGCTTAGTGCCTTGCTGTTGCTGAGGCTGGTTTTGAACTCGCGATCCTCCTGACTCAGCCTCCCAAGAGCCGCTGGGAAGACAGGCGTGTGCCACCATGCCTGGCCTACCCTGAATTTTATAAGGTTTTGAAAAAACAGAACTGTGCTTTTTGATCATCAGAACTTTTATTTTATACATCGTCTTTTAAAAAATATATATATTTTTAGTTGTAGTTGGACACCATACCTTTATTTTATTTATTTGTTTTTATGTGGTGCTGAGGCTGGAACCCAGTGCCTCACACATGCTAGGCGAGTGCTCTATGCTGAGCCACAACCCCAGCCCCTATTTTATACTTCTCAGAAGAACTATTTTGGACTTATTTAGACAGCACAGTTTTCTTTTCAGTGTATCAATCTGGCGGGTTCTATAAAAAGAAAACATGCAAGAAATTTCACCTGTTAACGTTAGTCCTAAGACTTCTTTGCCGTCATAGTACAGAGCTCCTGGATTGCTTTCTACTYAGGACATCTTCATTTTCTCCCTGGCGCTAACCTGGGAAAACAGGGGCCTAGCAGCACGGCTGACGCAAGGCGCATCGCTGGCCAAAACAAACAGCAGACAGGACCGGAGGAAGGAAGAAAGTCATTATTTTTTATTTAATGTATTGTTTTGATAGCAAGTTGACGAACACAGAACATGTTGTCATCAAAACAGAGAACGTTTAAAATTAGAAGCAAAAATAAGCAATAAACCTGAAAGAAACCAGTGAAAAATAACACATCCAAAGGCCTCAGTGAGTGTCACCGGGGAGCAGTACCCCTGCTGTCCCTGCCTCCGTCCCAGTTCCAACCAGCCCTCGAAATGGCAGCAGCTCGAAAATAGAGCCACCACATGACCCAGTTGGACCACTCCTCGGTATTTACCCTGGAGAATTAAAGTCACCTTACTACAGGGACACATGCGTACCCATGTTTATAGCAGCACAAATCATGGTAGGCAAAGTATGAACCAGCCTAGGAGTCCACCACGGGGTGAATGGATAAAGAAAATGTGGTGTGCATACACAATGGGGGTGGATTTTTTGTTGTTGTTGTTGTTGTTTTTGTGGTAYCGAAGATTGAACTCGGGACACTGGACCACTGAGCCACATCCCAGCCCTATTTTACATTTTATTTAGAGTCAGGGTCTCACTGAGCTGCTTAGGGCCTTGCTGTTGCTAAGGCTGGCTTTGAACTCTCGATCCTCCTGCCTCAGCCTCCTGAGCTGCTAGGATGACAGGCATGGGCTACTGTGCCCGGCCAGAATGGGATTTTATTGGGCCATAAGGAAGCGCAAAATTAGGTCATTTGTAGCAAAATGGATGGAACTGGAGAACGTGATTTTGAGTGAGATAAGTCAGAATCAGAAAATGATCTTTATGGTTTTTTTTTTCCTCATTTGTAGAAATTAAGGAGAAAAAAAAGGATACCATAAAAGCAGCAGGGAGACCGTTATGATGGAGGAAGGGGGCAGGGAGGGAGAGGGCAGGGAGAGGAAGGCGTCAGGGAATTGAGCAAATGATGTTTTATGTAGATGGGAGCAGGCCGCCACGAAATCCACCATCTGTATAAAATATGGGGTAGTAAAAAAGGAGGGGGCCGGGCTGGGGCTCAGAGCTAGAGCACTTGCCCAGCACACGTGAGGCACTGGCTTCGATTCTCAGCTCCACATAAAAAAATAAAGTCATTTTTAAAAAAGGAGATGATACATTAGAAAAAAGAAATATGGGACCAGCTCCCCACCTGAAGCCGAGCTACAGAAACCAAACATCAGTAACATTCTTGCCTTAAACTAAAACTTCCAGTTTCAATTTCATCAGGTGTCCCACTCAAAACAAATAAAGTGCTGTTGGGGGAGACCTTGGAGGGAGAGCTGGGATTGCAGGTGCCCACATGTCCCCCTTCTTGGGAGCTTCATCACGGTGGTTTTGCCCGGGCAGGGACTGTGCCCTGGACACCGGCCTCAGAGCTCCAGGCTTGGGGAAGCTGGGAACCTGCCATGTCTCCAGGCTCTCATCCCAGGTCCCAGATCTTTGAGTGACAGGCCTCTGGGAGGATAAGGCATCGGAGTTACAGGACATCCGTTCCTMTCCATGGTAAGAGAAGGACACTCACAGTCTTTCAGGCACTGAGGTATGACCCAAGGACAGTGTTGCCTAGGCTACGGGGACAAGGGGACCACTCTCGAAGAGATCAGAGGCACCGACCACTGCTGAACAGACAGTGGATGCTGATAGACACGCAGCAGCTGAGTTTCAGGGGAAATCCGTGGTTCTGGGGTGCCCCGGATGTTCTAAAGGGATGGGCATCTTGTTGAGAGTCACGTTGCCAGGACAACCTTTCCCCTGGGGCTGATACCCAGGATCCAAGAGTGACAACCTGGATATCCAGCTAGGAACAGAGAGTCCACCTTCCTCTCCCCTCACCTCCTGCCCACAGTGGAGTCACCTCCTGCAGCCAATGTGCTGGCAACGGGGAGAGAGGCCCAAGTTCAGATTCGTGATGGAGCCTCTGTTTTTCCACCTGTTTGATGGAAGAGATGGTCATAAATCCTCAGAAGCATGCAGAGAAGAGTCAATGATCAAGTTGATCCTAACACTCAAGAGTCAAGTGCACAGTAACTGCATAAAGCAAGTGTAGCTATTGACACAGCATCTGCATCGTCTTCTCCAACATCCGAGCTGGGACGAGTTTTAGAATTGATGTGTTTTCTGCTACAGTGATGCTTCCTGCCTTTGACAAATACTGATCCAGGATCTTCTAAGTGCCAAGCGCTTCTAAGTGTCTTCGATCTGGAGAATCAGGTTGGGGGAGAGGACGGAGGAGGCCCCCATTCTGGGTGTCGCCGGGCTGGCGATGCAGACAGGAAGGAGCTCTTTCATCTTCCTTGAAGTCACATCAAATTCCTGGACTGTGTGGTCCAGGGTCTAATCCATGTGTGAGTGGGGGAGGTTAGGGTTCCTCAAGGAGTTGACAGGCAGATTGAGTCYTGCATGGTGGGCTGAGCTGGAGGTCTGGGAGGAGAAGCCCCAACTCAGACATCAAAGAGCCATTCTGGTCCACCTCTCTTTGCCCTGATGCTGACAGCTGCCTGTTCTGTCTTCCAGACATCTCTGGAACTAGAACACTTCAATCCCTCCCTGGGCTGGCTAACCTGCCCTGGATTCTTTCTTTCTTATCTATTTATTTGCTACTGGTGATTGAACACAGGGGCACTCGACCAYGGAGCCAGGGAGCCACAATTCACAGTCCTATTTTGTGTTTTTATTGAGAGACAGGGTCTCACTGAGTTGCTTAGTACCTCGCTGTTGCTGAGGCTGGCTTTGAACTCGAGATCTTCCTGCCTCAGCCTCCTGA